GTTGTTGTCGAATATGGAGTTCACAAGCGGCGGCTGTGGAAATGCCGTCGATTGCTGCTGCTGCTTCCTCTGCTGAACGTAGGTGGTTGGTAGTGACGCCTCTGGGCTGACTGGGATCGCGTTGCTGGGAGCAACTGCGACAGAGGTCGTCGTAGGCTGTGGTGCATAGAAACGTGGTCGCGACTTTTGGAAGCGCTGTCCCGATCCCTGTCCCTGGCCCTGGCCCTGGCCGAGGGCAGGGTTAGATGATGCAATTGAGCCGGATGCAGCAGTCGCTTGGTGGGCATGGGTGGCAGTACCGACACCGGCTCCGGCTCCGGCTCCGGCTCCGATTCCAGCCGCAGCTGCGGTTCCAGTTCGGGCTGGTAGACTGCTGGTGGCGGCTGTGCTCGATGGTTTGCTGGATAGGTGTACGGGTATCCGTACTCGAGTTGATGCTCCTTGATGTCCCCCAGTTGTGGCTGCGTGGGTGGTAGTAGTGGTTGTATAAATACGCTTGCGCTTGATGGGCACGCGCGGCTGCTCCCCAGCCAATACGTTTACCTCTTGATCGGCCTGCGTCTCGCTGGGCGATAGATCCATGTCGATGTCGACGCGCGCCTCCGTATGCTGCGGCCGCCGGCGGCTCAGCTGGCTGTAATACTTTTTCGAGCTCGAGCTGCCAATGGAACTGCTGCTCTTGTGGCCCTTGTAGCCGCCAATGGCAAAGGGATCCTCGTCGTCCGGCGGACTCAGATAGGGGCCAACGCTAGATGGCGCTGGCAGCTTGGCGCGCACCTTCTTGCTGCTCAGATAGCTGAGCTCATTGTTCGGCGCATAGCTCAGACCCAAGTCGTCCTCGTCGCTCTCATCGTTGTAGTCCAGGTCCTCCTCGTTGATGGTGCTGTAGCCGTTGCTGTTGCCATTGTCCAGCTTGTAGCCGCCGGGCGAGTACTCCTTGGCCTGGATGGAGGACAGCGGCGGAAACTGCTGCCGATAGCCGTCCACCTGGCACGAACAGCAGGTGGGCACCTTGAAGATGTCCACATGCAGCCCGCGCACCTTGTCCCAGCTCAGCAGCCGATGGTAGTTGTACACCTGCGAGCAGTGCGAGCGATACGTCTGCGCCAGATACGAGCAGCTTTCGCCAGGATTGCTGCCAAGCAGAGAAAGCCAATTAATTAGAACACTTATTTGCGGCTCAACTGTAAGTGATGGAGGCCTGAGCCTGAGCCTGAGCTATTGCCACTGTAAAGAGGCTAGCTTATGAATAATCAGCGATAAATAGAGTCTTGCTTTCTTGCTCACAGTTGACAGCAGATTGGCATAACGCCAGCATTAACTTATCTTTAGCTGGTCATTTGAGACGTTCATCTTGCTGTAGACGTTCATCTCGTTTCTTTGGCTGCTGCTTACAATATCATATCTCTATCCTAATCATATGGTTTAAGCCTCATTTGCTATCTGTATTTCACTCTCTCCCATCACATAATCTTCACTGTCTGTATCATTTTCTCTTTGTCTCTTTGATTTGCTTGTCTTCTGTTTACGATCTCTCTTGAAATGTTTAATTTATGAAATAATTAATTTGACCATCTATTGTGTATTTGTATGGTGTGTTTATCGTTCCTATTCTCTATTCTTGTCTCTCTATCGGTATTTCTAATATATTTTTCTGTAGTCTTCTCTATCCCTATAGATATATATTTCACTCTTTTTCTCTACTTTTAAATCACTTACGATATCTCGTAAAACTCTTTAAAATAAATAAATAAAAAAATCTCTTTTTCTTTCGTTCTTCCTCTCTGTGCGGTTTTGTCTCTTACTCTGTGCTTCTATAAAGTCTTCTGTTTTTCGTCTCTTTCTCAGCAGTATTCAATAATTAACTATGTGTTTTCTCTAAGTCTATATGTCTCTCTTACTTTTCCTTCCCCTCTCTCTCTCTCTCTCGCTATCTCTCTATCTCTCTCTCCCTTCCGTTTGCTGTTTCTCTCTTACCCTCATTATCTCTCACTCTCTGTCTTTCTCTCTCGTTTGCAGTGATTGTTCTAGTCTCTTTCACTTATAACTCTCTCTCTCTCTCTCTCTCTCTCATTTTCCTTCAATAAACCTTTCACTCCTTGTCTATCTGAATCTATTTCTATATATACAAATATGTATACCCTATCATTGTCTTCCTCATCTTAGGCAACCTTTAAGTGTATAAAAATCGTGAGAATTTCGCCAATTGCTCAACGCGTATTTTTCCAAATTTGACCGTACATGATTATTATTTTGATCAATTATCTTAGCTGTTATTAGTAAAACGAGACCAGCTCAAGTTTAATTGCGAATGAAGATGACGCTGCTTAATAGCCTCTCCATTAACTGGGCCAAAAATAGAAACGTGTTGATGTAACTGTGACTTCGATGGTGATAATTATTGAGTTCCACGACTCTTATATGAATAGCAAATGAGGCTTTTAATTGCGACAGAGCTCCACTCCACTGAGATGTGGCTCACCTGCACTTCTCCAGACGCAGCGTCTGCGTGTGCTGTCCCGTGTTGACGATGAACTTCCACTCGCCCGACGCTGCCTTGGCCTTCTGGGGCCGGGCGTACCGGACGATGCTCTGGCACATGCTGCCGGCGGTGCCCTCGTCCTCACGCCTAGGTGGTTTCACATGCAAGAGAAAGGCAATCAAAAGTTATTTTAAGACGAAAGATTTCTAAAGATCATTCGATCTGTCGATCTTCTGCTCCACTCACCGCTTTTTATTGACAATATAATCGTCGAACTCGTCACCGAACTCGAGATTGTTGTTGGGCTTATCGTAGAACTCGGCCAGCAAAGCGCTCATCGCATTCTTGTGCCGCCTGATGCTGCCCATGATCTGTTCGCTGCGTGGAGGTGAAAGTGAAGAGTGTTGTGTGTGAAGAAGAGAGTGTTTGGCTGAGGTTAAGTATGAGAGGAAGAGAGGGATGAGGGGAACCACCGACAACCGACCACCGAAACCACTATACTATATACGTGTGCAAAAGCATTTGGAGGAGGTGTACCAGAAATAAATTACTTTTTATTTTTAAGCTAAACATCTTACGACAACTAGACTAGGGCGGGAACCGAGAGCAAACCAACCAACTAACTAAGCGGATCTTACAGCGGATAGTCGTCGGTACGTATGCACATGTTGTTGGTGAACCGCTCGCACTTCTTGTGGCCCACCACGACGGGGCTGTGGGCGCTGGCCGACGTCTTCGGCCGGCTGCGACTGTAGAGGGAGTTCTGGACGCGCTTCCGCTTGATGGGCGGCATCTTGTGGCTGGCCGGCGGTCGCTTGTGGCTGCGATAGCGTGGGCCCGCGATCAGCTCCTCGGGACTGGGCAGCGGCTCCTCGGCGCTGCTGCTGCTGTTGCCATTGCTCACCTCATAGAGCCGCTCGTCCGCAGAGATCGGCAGCTGGGTGCCGTTGAGGCCGGCAAAGGCGAGATCCTCGATTTCCTCATACGACTGCGTGGGCGTGGGCGGCAATGTGGAGGCAGTGGCTGTGGCTGCGGCAGTGGCTGCAGTTGCAGCTGCTGTGGTTGTGCCTGCACCGCTGGGCAGCTGAAAGGCGGTGGTGTTCAGCTTGATAGTGCGGCCCGCTGCACCGCCCAGCAGCTGCTGCTCGCTCACCGAGACGGGCACAGAGCGCGTCAGCTTGTGCACAAATTCGTTGGCTGCGCGGCGCACCCGCCTGCCGCGAGTGGCGTTCGCCTTGGGCGATGGCAGCGGCTGTGGGGCAGTGAGCGCCTCATTGATCATCTGCGGATCGAGCACCTCCGATTGCATCTCCTCGAAAAAGTCCTCCAGTGAGCTAGCCGCCTGCTCCTGATCCGCCGCCGGCTGGCTGCTCACATCAATGGTGCCCACGCTGTCGTCCTGCTCCGACTCCTCCACAGTCAGCAGATCTTTGCGCTTCTGCAGCGGCGTCTGTCGCAGCGCAATTGCTGCCAAGTCGCCGCTCAGCTGTATATGCTTGCGCGCCGAGCTCTTCACCAGATTCGCCAGATCGTAGACAATGGGCAGCAGCAGCTTCTTATCGTCGCCAAACATCATGCGAACCTGCAAGCCAAAGGGAAGAATTAGACAAAGCCCAGCTGTAGGTGTTTACAGATGAAGTCTCTGACTTCCCTCAGAGATTTCACTGTAATTGTAGACAATTCTAGGCGTGGCTCACCTGCTCAAGCCGCAGCTCGTGACCCTGTTTGGCATTCATCTGAGCCGAGATCAGAGCCGAGAGTGCCAAACGCTGCTGCGAGGATAGGACACGCAGTATGGGCATCACTTCAGCGAACTTCTGGCGCAGCGCGCGATCCGTCAGAGCCTTGGACAATGCCGTGCGCAACACCCGTTCACGCCAATCGAATTGCGGCAACTGTTTCTCCGGCTCCGGTTCATCCAGATCCACGCTAAAGTCCAGCATGTTGTCCTCCAGCTTCTTTTCGGCCTGTTGTGCCGCCAGCTGCTCGTCGGCCAGCTGCCAGTCATCGTTGCTGGCTGCGGCGGCATCCAATTCCTTGGCATCGGCAAAATCGAAATCCAGCAGCTCCTCCTCGCTGGCGTTGACCAGGTCCAGGTATAGCACACAGTAGAGCAACGCCCAGAAGAGGCAGCTGAATGCGCGGCCCGCTTTCATTTTCCGCTGCGAAGCAACAAAACAAACGAAAGTTGATGAGAAAATGGGCGTTCAGATTGCAGTTATTAAGACGAAATTAAAATCCACAAATAAAAGCACTCAAAACTCACAGCAACAAAAACAGAAACAAAATTCGAATAAAAGCCCCACAAAACAGAAAACAACGAAAATAATTTGTTATTATGCGTCGCACGCTTTCAACGGCGCATTCTAAACGAAAGACTTAGGCAACGAACTTTTGCTTTCGTTGCCACGGATTTAAATTTATTTTCTACGCCTTTCCAGCTGAAAGTAAAAGCCATTAACAATTGTAATAAAGCCGTAAACAGCAGCACTTGCAGCCACCGCACCACCACACCATCGCACCACCACACACGGTGTCAGCGGTAAGCATAATCAAGTCATGACAGCGGCTATTACAGCAGCCACCGCTGCTGCTTTTAGGTAATCGCCATTGGCCTAGCCATAGCCAAAGCCACATAGCCATATAGCCATAGCCATATTCATAGCTAACGCTAAATCACAGTCATAGAGCAGTCATAGCCATCGCCACATTGTGGCCAACATCCACATCATCTTCTTTGCCTGCTCAACAAGGCGTGAAGCATCAAACAACTCATAAGTGTCGTTGTCAGTGTAGTTGTTGTTGTTTTTGTTGTTGTTTTTGTTGCTACTGTGGTGGCTGCTGTTGCTGTTGTGTGGCTGCTGTCAGGTTTGCAGCCATAAATCAGGCAACCTCTGCGCGCTATGATCTATGCAGTGAAATGGGCAAAGACCTTGTGGTTGATAGATAACCTACCTATTACACTATACAACAGCATTGCGGCACTCGGCAGATGTAATAATTTAATATGCCAAGACCATAACAGTAATGGGCTTTCCTTTTGCTTCTGATCGCATATAATGGAAAAAGCTACAGCTTGAAGCCGAAGCCTCATTAATGCGGAAGTCTGGGCTTAACAGAGTGTAACTCGCATGTGGTAGCTCTTTCAGTTCACACTGATTGGCATGCATCCGAAATAGTTTTCAATTTGCACGCTTGCTGACATAAATCTCTGGGAAACACTTTTATGAAGTCAGTGGGCATTATTTGTTGTTTGTTGTTGTTCTGAAGTCTATAGACACTTTCCTTCAGCTAAAGTCCAAATTAGCCAGAAGTCTGATTCAAATATTCTTAAATGATTGTAACTCAACTAAGAGCAGCTCTATTTTCAAAAGTAGATCTCTTCTTATTAATATTTGTACAATTATTTTACTAACATTTTTATATTTTAAATTCCTTCGCTAGACTGATTCCTGAATGATCGACATTTGCAGAGCTTTTTTTTTTCGATAGTTTCTCTTAATGAATATTCTGAATAAATATATATAAAATATTGCTATATATCTTTAGTTTTCAAATACATTTGGATATTGTTTAATATGCTGAAAATATTTAATTTAATTGGGCTATTTATTTATATAATATACGTGATATATTGTATATCAAGTATCACCACAATACAAATATACATATATAGAAAATTAATTTTCAATCAATCTCCGATAATCATCGGAATGTGTATCAAACAGTTAATTATGTACAAATAAATATAAATATATATAAATATGTATGTATAATACATACATAAATCAATCTTAGCTTCACAATGCAAATCTGGAAGGTTCCAAACATTTTCGAATTTGAGCAACACAAAAAAAGAAAATAGAAAAAGTTAAGTAAATTAATTTATTATAATATAAAACAAAATTTGATTAGGTTAAGTATTTTGTAGATTTCCTTCGTATATAAATTTGCTAAGCCCATTTATAATTAACTCAAATTCATTTAGTATCTTTAACTGTTTCTCAATCATTATCAATCAGACCAAAGCTGCTGCATTTCACAAAATGAACTCCCCATTGAGCAGCGAGTCATGCTTCTGTCCTCAGCTTGAACTTGCCCACATTCATTTACATACATGTATTTCTATAAATAATTTTGTTTTTTGTTTTTGCTGTCACACAATGGAAATGCTTGCGCCCACGGAATGCCAACAATTGCATTCGAAAGTGCTCGTCTGTGAATGCCAATGGGAGCTGACAAATTCGAATGCTAACAACACCCAGTCTGAAGGCATGGCTGCTTGGCTGACTGCCAGCAGCTCCTTGGGGCATCGTTAACGGCAGCATCCCGCAGTTGCTGCTGCAGATGCTGATGCTGCTGCAGATGCGCTGACCTTTGCGCCATTGAAAAGTGAAAACTTGGCTTGGGCTGGCTTGGCTTTATCTATCGACTGGTTGACAGTTTAGAAAAGGCAGCCAGCGACATTAACAGGCGCCGCACACTCAACCAAAACAAGCCACAAGGCCAGTAAATAATACACAATCACACACACACATATATATAGGTGTATATATACAAAGAGCCGTCAGCAGCATCTTCAGTGTGTACTATGGCCGCCCCCAGCTGCCAACGAGCTGCGATTTGTGCACATCGTTTGTTTTTGCGCAGGTCGTGAGGATGTTGCCGTTTTGGCCACATCTTCAATTTATTTTGCACACCTGCGCACAGAATGCCATTGGCCAAGCTCAATGGCCTGAGGCATGAAAGAGAGAAAGAGAGACAGAGAGAGGGAGAGGGAATCGCTTCTGGTTTTTAGCTTTTTTGTGCGGCCTTTTGCATATGCGGTGCCGGGATGCACTGGGCTCTGGGAAAGCGTTGTCATGTTGGCGTATTGCAATGATGCCATAAATCAAATTAAGCCAATAAGGCGAGCTGCAATGCGCTTCCCACGGGTCTCGGCTGAGTAAAAGTGAATAGACACACAAATTGCCAGCGATGCTCGAATGCAGATGCTGATGCTGATGCTGCAGCTACTGCAAAATAATTTCACTGCWAATTCTTTGGTTATCTTAATTAGCTTACGATTCGCGTGCGTTGCGCCGTGCAACAGACACAAACTGGGCCAGTCGAAAAACACATCAAGCAGCAAGAAGCAGCGATAAAGCGGCGCTGCAATAAGAGAAACAGACACAAGCAGCAAGAAAGTCGCGCGTCGAGAATCCTATAAGCAGAAACCAAGCTGCAACAACAACAGCAACAACAAGCACAACAACAACAACTAACCGACTAACCTAGTAAGCTCAGAACTCGCATAACGAGCTAGACAGAGAGTTCGAAGTTGTGTGGCGCATTGGCTATCGAAGAGCCAAAAGCTGAAACATTATTGATGGCGCGTGCTGACACATTCAATTTGCCGGCCCTAAACGAAAGACTTAGGCAACGAACTTGACGCCATTAAGCAAACAACAGCAGCAACAACACGCAGCTCACGCACAGCTTAACCAGCTGACACAATTTCCTCGGGCGTAAAGAATATAAAAGACAAAATTAAACGAAAAAAAAAAGAATTCAAATTTTTGTTGAGGTGCCTCGTTATTGTTGTTGTTTTTGTTTCTTTTAGAAAGTTGTTTCCATTTCACATATTTGGCTAAAGAAATAAACATAAAAAGATTCCATTTTCGATTTGTGGCTGTTGTTTTATGATTAATTCATTTTGGCCAAGAAATCAGTTCGTTCGGCCCGTTTATTTCCGCAGTCAACAAAATAAAATCTTTTATCACAAATTTTCACTTTTGTTTCTGATATTTGACTTGGCAAACATATAGAAGATATATATTTCGATGTACGACTTGTGTTTACTTTTAAGCTAAGACAATCACCTTCGGCCTCGTTTAATTGCTGAGAATTGCAGCTAAAACGTCTTCTTCACCAATTTTCACTTTTTTCCTTCTTTACTTCTTCACTTCTTGTAGGCAAATTTTCACAGATTTCACACGCGCCTAAAGCTGCGGCCACAGCGCTTCTCCGCCCAGATCGAGAGCAGGAGAGTAGTAGAGCAAACAGACTGTGTGTGTGTGAGTGTGTGTGTACGCTTTTTTCTCTTCAAGTCTATAAATAACTGTTTACTGCTGCCGCTTGCACACGTCTTAACGCTTTCAACACTCGCCGGCGACTGTTTGCAGAGCTGCCGCAGCGGCAGCTGCTGCTGCTGTCTCTGCTGCTAGCGCTGCCTCGGTCGCTGCCTTGGCTGGCTGCGCCGTTGGTTCTGCTGCGACGTGTTTACATTAAATTGCCAATTGTCTAATTGCTTTTCTTTTGCAGTTCGCTGAACCGTTAGCTTGGCATTAAAATTCACAATTTCAATTTGCTAAATAGCTCGCACGTAATGCGGAAGCTCTAACATTTACGCCTCATTTACAAAGTTCGTGTCTTAAGTCATTCGATTTTTTCTATTTTTGTTATTTTTTCTTTTTTTTTTTTTTTTAATAACTCCAGTGGGTCAGGAAGCATACAGCCCTAACGGAAGCTTGACAAATATGCATAACTAACTAACTAGCTGCTGTTGACGCTGCACGAATCTCCACAGTTTTTTTTTTTTTTTTTTTTTTTTTCAACGGGGGGCAGCGCAAATCAATTTAATAAGACAGACAGGCCAGACCAACTTTCGTTTTTTTTTTTTTTTTGTTGCCAAACAGCCCTCGGCCGTGACTTTAACTGTACAGTTAGCGCCTCTCGCTCAACTCTAATTGAACTGCAGTGGCTCAGCCAGCGGCTATTACACTATTAGAGCCACTTTTCTGCACTTTATTGTTATGGCTCTATCTCTATCGTGGCGGGGGCAGCGTGAAAATCATAAATAATAGACGCTTTTGTTGCCACTTGAGGATTTGCTTCACACTTTCTTAGCACAGCGGCTGCATTTTATTTCTCTTTTCACGCAATGCGTTTCGAGCCTACGCACATTGTAGTATTTATGAGCATTAAATCGTATTACCGCATCGCTGGCGTTTTATTTTATTGCAGCGTCATCAATCAGCAGCAAAAAACTCACTTGATAAACTTTTTTCATATACCTCTAAAACGAAAAAAAAAAAAAAAAAAAAAAAAAAAAACTTTTCCGCTGTGCCATAAAATGCAAAGAGCATGGCTAATTTGCGAATTGCCGTCAAGCATTGTAATATAGTTGTTGTCTAGCTACTTTTAACGACCAAATTGCCAGCAGTCATAGCTGTTATCCCTTGATTGATGTTCCAGCAGCGACTTCATTTGCTGCTGCTCCTCCTCAGTTCCTCAATTGTGTGGCAATGAGGGAAATGGCCAGGTGCTCTGCTTATGCAGGTGAGCCTTTATAATTCGAATCGAACAGCTCATTAATATGCTGCCTAAATGCATAGCGTTTGGCTAATTATGCATAAAGTCTAGCTGAGAATAAGCTTGGCTCTGATGCGTGAAACATCTTCCGGTTTAATCAGGCTTCAAGGTGACTGATCAACGATTGATGGCTTAAATTTTTAGATGCTTACTTATTCTTCTTCTACATTGACTTGAGCTTATGTTAATACAAAAATATATTTAAACTTGTTTTTACATAGTTATTTACTTTAGTTCAGCTGCTTAACGGACCAAGTTCACAAGAACCAGTTCCAACTGGAACATGTTGCCGTTGCCAGCTGCCTGCAATTAGTTCTGGCACTTTAGTCCAAATAGGTGGCAGCCCTATTGGCTAGAAAGCTGTGCTGCCAGCTTGCCAAAAAAAGCTGAGATAAAGTTTACCTTTCACCGATTTCTGTTTTTATAGCAACAAAAGCTCTCAGGTGAAAACTTTAGGTATATGTTGAAGTATTTTTAAGATCTTGTGCAGATCGAAACTGACCTAATGATAATTTAAATGAAGATTTAATGACACATGCATATATTTATTTGAGTTCGTCGATTTCAAAATAATATATCCATCTAAATGGTGATATTATATCTTCAGATTCGAGGAACTTAAGTATTAATATTCATTTTAGTCACATTCAGAATTGCAATATAGTTTTCTACTCGTAAGACTCATAGGTTTTGATTGGCATTTAAAAATCATAATTTAAAAATTTAATCGATTTTGATATTTTCAGTTAATATATATAAAATGAATAAAATAGATTTCGAATAAAATAGATTTAAGAGCGATATGAGCTATAATCCAATTTCAAGCAATTAAATTTTCATAAAAATTTAATTGTTTCTAATCGTCTGATAATTATTTACGACCTAGGATTGTCATAAAAGAGTGAGATATGGTTTTACACTCGTCACTCAATGGAATATAATCCTTCATTCAATCAATCATTTAATTTAACACACAACTGTTCATTAAGCCAGTGGGTCCACCAATTATATAAGAACAGATTAACTAATCAACATTTATACAACTGCCTATTCAGTCAATTTAGCAATCAGTTGGAAAGACAACAGTCAGTCAGTTCATCAATCAATTAGTCAATCAGTCTGTTCGAAAGACAAGAGATCATTCATACCATAAATCAATCCATAGAAAAACAACCTGTAATTCAATCAATCAATTAGATTACCTACTTAGTCTGTCAATCAAAAAATCAATATTTCATATTAAAAGTCTCTTCAATTGGTGTAGATATTAATTATATTTTGTGTTTAATTAATTTATTTGTACAATTATATATTTCTATACATAYATTCATATATATATTTTCGTTTATATATATGTCGATAACAATAATATCAACTCCTACATTACATACGAATCATTTGTTGCAAACTAAGATCTGGTGTGCTACATTGTGTGGTGCAGTTAACTCGACTAAGGCTACGATTACGTAATGCGGCTCAACTTGGGGGAAAATGAATTTGTTGTTTAGATATAGACTAGAAGAACTAAGTGACTAATATCAACTAAGCACAAGTAGCGCCATTTAATTAAACATAGATCCTAAATCATAAAATAAACTGTGCATATCAAATATTTAGAACATATATACAAACGATCGAGAGAAAGAAAGAGAGAGAGGGAGAGATAGATCTCAATCGATATAGAGGGAAAGATAGAGAATACAAATAATACTGCTCGACAAGCACGCTAATTTCGAAATGGAGGACAGTTACGTAGAGGTGTGGCATGTGTGTGTGTGTGAGTGTGTGTGAATGAGCCTGATGTACATATATTAGTTGGTGGGCAATGGCGACGTGGTGTGCAGGTGGATGCTGATGGAGGTTTGGTGGTTGGGGTGGTTCAGTCAACGTCATATCTCGCACTCGAATTCCGAGATGCGATGGTTGAAGTAGACAACGCCATGCTCGAGATCCTCACTGAAGCCGCTCACATCCATATAGTCGGAGGCGGCGGAATCGTCCTCCACCCACTTGTGCAGCGAGCGGGTGATTTCCAGGCGCGACTGTGCGAACGAGGGCCGCATGTGCGGCTCCTTGTGCCAGCAGCGGGACATCAGATTGTAGAACTCGTGCCGGCTCTCCTTTGGCAGCTCCGGGCGCAGACCCTGCGGCACACGGCGGATGACCTCACGGCCCGTCAGGTGAGAGTAGGGCGTCGAGCCTGAAGGAACAGCAGAAGGGGATTAGTATATACTCTCTTGTTATATAGAATCGCTTCCTACCCAGTGTGGCAATCTCCCAGAGGACAATGCCAAAGGCCCAGATGTCCGTCTCGGTGGTGAACATGTGAAACTGTAAACTCTCCGGCGCCATCCAGCGTATGGGCAGTGCATGCCGCTTGCCAATCGTGTCATGGCCATGATGCTTCTTCTCGGACGACGTCTGGTCCTTGGAGCAGCCGCCGCCGTGCTGGCCATGCTGGCCAAAGGTCTGCTGCCAGTGCTGCAGTATGTAGCGACTGCCAAAGTCGAATTTGAATTTGTGCGCATTGCTGCGCAGGATGTCGTTCGCCGCATTCTTCTCCTGCTCCTTGCGCATGCGCTCCGCGTCCAGATCAATGGACATGCCAAAATCACAAATCTTGCACATGCCATTGTGATCGAGCAGGACATTGCGCGCAGCCAGATCACGATGGACAATCTGGGAATGAGATGAAGCAGGGGTCAGTGATGGATTCTCTCGAAGAGTTGGGAGCCAAGCTTACCCTATGCCCGGCTATGTACTCCATGCCACAGGCAATATCCAAAGCAAAGCCCGCCAGAGTGCGCGGCGAGAGCGGCGCCAGGCTGCGTCCACCCGGCACCGAGGCGGGCAGAATATTCGTGGCACTGCGCGCGGCACGCAGCAGCGAGAGCAGACGTCCGCGCATCGCATACTCCATGATCAGCATGTGGGGCTCTGCGAGGGGAATGCGAATAAAAGAGGATTCAGTTTCAGATTGCATACATCATCTGCAATGCCAACACTTACCGCTCTCCACGCAGGCGCCCAGCAGTGTGACCACGTTCTGGTGGGAGCCCAGCTTGCGCATGATGTTGGCCTCGTCCTTGAGGCTCACCTGGGCGCTGCAGGCGCGTATCGTCTTGACGGCCACGATTCGTGTGGCTCCGAAATGTCCACTCAGATCATCGGCCTCCGCCTTCCACACCTGGCCAAAGTTGCCCTCGCCCAGCAGACTCTTCAAGCGGATGTTGCTGCGGTCGAACTCCTGGTACTCGCTGGCCAAGGACGATTTGTCCTCGTAGCGATTGTGATTGGCATCGCGCTGTTGCTGCAACTGTTGCTGCTGCTGCTGCTGCTGCTGCAACTGTTGCTGCTGTTGCTGTTGATGCTGCTGATGATCGACCTCATCTTCGTCCAGCTCCAGCTGATACTTTGAGTCCACCTTCTTAACCGGACTTATGGGCTGCTGATCTGTGATGCACACATCGAAGACGTCGTCCGCCTTGGAGCGCCGTCGCACCACATAGTTGCGCACCATGTACATGACAATGGCCACCAGTGGCACCACGCCCACCGCCACCAGCACCAGTGTGACCAGATTCATGCGCCTCATCTCCATGCTCACATCGCGCTCCTCTGCAATGGCCGTCGAGCTAATGTCCGAGGCAGCCACTGAGGAAGAGGAAGAGGAAGAGGAAGAGGATGAGGAAG